CTCCCTTGAATTTGAGCTCTTAATAGTTTCAAAGAGCTTAAATATTAATAGAATCTCACACTTAAGAGTAAATGTTGCAAATTAGCCAAAGTTATAGGCTGAATTTCATCCACTTGTCCTGAAGTTCTGTTGTAATTGGTCTTGTTATCCCTAAATGAAACAATAAAGTTTCACAATGATGTCGTGTCACGTGCAGATTGGATATTTTTGTTTATTGCGTTCTTTCAATTTTTGATTAATAATTGAAAAAAATCATAGGAGCAGAACAACTGTCATTTTTTTCGGGATATCTGTTACGTGTTCTTGAAAATGGAAGTTCTTTTTAATTCTATTCAATGTCATATACGGGAGAGTCCATCCAGCAACGTACTTGCTCTTGCTTATAGAACTCTGGATATCGAAAATGCAAGGAGAAGGAAAAAGACAGTGATAGGTATAGTTGAGGCCAAAATGTTTAGAGTTCTTGATGTAAGAGATTTGTATAGAAAATATTGGCACTTCATTGGGTGATAAATGCTGATATCCTACATGGTGACAACATCATTATTGAGTCCCAGGTTCCCACAAGCATCTTCCTTTAGTATTCTCTGATTGAAACTCAACTTTTTAAAAACCCTTTGTAAACCCCTATTTCGTTCTTAATTTGTACAAATCTTTGTCTCTTATTTTTTACAACTTCATAATTTCGAGCTAGTTCATACAAATTGAGGTATTTAGTTTTTAAGAACCCTTTGTAAACCCCTATTTTGTTCTTAATTTGTACAAATCTTTCTCTCCTTATTTTTTAGAATTTCATAATTTTGAGCTAATTCATACAGATTTTATCAATTTGAGCACAAATCTTTGAAGTGCTTGGAGTATAAATTTTTGTTAGACTTAAACGACACGTAGGGCAGATTCTGTTTTTGACATTTGAAAGAAGAAGAGAGAAAACAAAGATATTTAATTAAATATCTTTATGGTTTAACCCTATCAATTAAAGAGGCTTTGTTTTCTATTTGAGACCANAGATAGGAGAAAACAAAGATAGTTATTTACTTGAATATCTTTATGGCTTAACCCTGTCAATATAGAGGCTTTGTTTTCTATTTGAGACCATAGATGGAGTTTTTGTACGGTGTTTCAATGTGATTTTTCGTGAATGACTTGTTTCAAAAAATCTCTTTTAATGATGATATGTTTAATGTAAAACTACCTGGCAATTTGGATGAAGTTTTCAAGGTTAAAAGTTTAATTCTCACTTTTCAGCTTGTGGAACTCATATGTCATTTTGTAATTGATGTTGTTTAACATTATTATCGTTAACTACTAATTGTTTGATTGTTTCCGAATGCGACATCCATGTACATGTCATCTTTAGCATAATTGGCTTCTAAAAGAATAATGTGGCCTTTTATTTTCATTACTTCTGCAGGATCCTTTGAGACTTGACATTGTTATTAGCTTCCCCAATTATGGTTTTCATCTTAGGTTTGATCCTTGGTCACAGGTATTATAAACCACGGCTTGTATCCTTCTACGGTTTAATTGCTTGGTCTTTCTTTAGTTGTAGCTAAATAACTTTATCTGTTGAACGTTATTAAATTTATTGGAATTTTTAATACTTGAGTGGCTGTGCCACACATCTTTTGTATTGGAGTTTGCTCTGTCAAGGGAAGCAAACAAACAAACATCGGTTCTTCTCTTAACAGCTTGCTTAATGAGATCGTTAATCACGAGTTAAGTGGCATATTGTGTCTTTTG